TATTTCTGACTTGAAGTCTCTCTCTGGTTTTGCTTTCAAAGCAGTACACCTCTCCACTCATGAGCTGCTCATGCATGCAAGACATGAATGCACAGTGTGGAAAGTTGTTTGCTGTTACCTAGAGAATCAAGTTTTCAGCATTAACAACCACTTGATCAATAAAAGATGAGCTAATAAATATCAGCTGTAAAAGGAATATCTAGCACACACTTAAATTCCAACCAGAAGATTGTTTTTCAGTCAGGTGGGTTTTTTCCTAAATTTGGTAATAGCAACTTAGTTTAAGAGTAATGAAAAAAGAAAAAAAAAAAATCCAACCAAGCCAAAGCTTGTGTCTCAAAACATTTATTGTTTATTTAACAACAGCAGTGAGGGTTCTGCTCAGCAGATGAACACAAGTGTGAGCAGAACATACAGGATAAGACATGTTTACAGAAACTTGTGACTGAAAGCAGGGAGAACACCTACCCAACACTCTTCACTTTTGTTTGGTATAAATATATGTGCTTATAATATGCATTTGAAAGCATGAAGGGAAGGGATATGCAAACACCATTTAAATAACCTCCAGATTTTAAAAAGCATGGAATGTACTGTTTAGTACTAGCAAAAATACACAGAAAAATATTTTTTAGAAGTTGTGCAACATGTGTTTTCTCCAGCAGAACTTACATGGGACACAGGATCTGTTTGAAAAAGGTAAACTGAGAAGCAGGAAGCCTGCTAGAGCTTAGGCATGCATTTTACTGTCAGTTTTTCTCTATTCCTATTTCCCTCCCCCTTAAGCTTTTCAGTGTGTAAACAATTTTGGTACAGCATATAAACAGGAAAAATCCCAGTTCTCTCCACCTGCCAGTCCTCTGGTTCATTAAAAATGGTGACACACAGAACCTAGATAATTGGCAAACGTAGAAACAGAACCACCATCCCAGCAGCGGCCTGGGACAGAATTATTTTTAATCTCTTTGTCATCCCCCCACTTTTACTGCTGCTACACCCTCTCCTCTACCAGGTAACCCCACCATTTAGAGGGATTATGCAGATTAAAAATTAATTCCTGGTTAAATATCAGTTACCTTTGGCGACCTGCTAACATTTGTTTAACAGAAAATACTCTGCCACTTGAGCTTTTGTGCACTGAATATCAACTCTGCAGAAAATATTCCTCTATCTTTTGGACATACCTGCAGGATGAGGGACTCTTTATCACCTTCTAATCGTGCCAACCTTTCTTGATAAGTTTCATTATTGGATGAATGATGGTTCACCTGGGACTGGGAGGAAAGAAAAGTGCTATGAGAATTTTTACAGGTAAAGTTTCAAGCAACAGTTAATACAAGTTTTGTACATTAAGCAGATTTTACAAGACAAAAAATATGAAAAAATGTGCATATAGACCAGAACTATTTATTTCATATGTATTGTGCCTGTACTTAATGTACATGAAGAATTAATGTATATTAAAAATGTACCTTTTTTAAAGTTGTATTTTGAATAATCTTTCATTTCCAGCATTCAAGAGTAGTAAATGAACAGACTGATATTTTCTAGAAAATTATAATTTCAATGGAAATACCATCTTACCAAACAAAACCCATTTAATTTGAAATATCTAGTCTCCACAGTCTTTTGCCAAAGTCAATGAATCCTGCATTTACTTTCAAGTGGTAAAAATTGCTATGGATGTAATATTCCTAGAAATTACTGAAAGAAAACTAGAATTTTTTTGTTAGTAATTAAAAATTTATTCAAATGATCAAATTCTTATCAGGAGCTACTCTACCCACCCAATCACTTCTGGATTTCTAAATGGCTCTAGGGAACAAAACCTTCTAAAACATGGCCTGTCCTTAACTATTATGCCCCATTTCCCATGAATTTTAATACTTCATATAGAAACACCACAATTAAAAAAAAAAATCTGCAGATTTATTGAAATTTGAAGAGTGTCCTAGGTTCATCCTGCCCATGAAACATTGTGGGAGTGGAGCTGTTTGCTCAGAGCATCAAAGGAAAGCTGAGCCCCCAGGGGATGATTTCCCAGCTCCACTGCAGGCACTGCATTTCTGGCAGGGAACACAACACTCAGCCTGGCTTTGCAGCTAACAAAGGAATCCCATGAGCTCCCTCCAACTGCAGCTGACTGCTCATTTATAGCTCCTTGCACCAATAGAATTATAATCCTCCTGCCCAACTGCCCTTTCTTTTCCAACTGAATGATTGTGAACAGATCTTTTTTTTTAAAAAAATAAAAATTAAATCTATTTATGGCTTCTTGATCTATACTGAGGTCTACAGGCCCAAAGGTAAAACAGATGCTGAAAATAAACATGGTGCTAACTAAGTCAAATCAAGAAATCAAATTTTTATACAATCAAAAGACACTTTTGATGTGCTGAACTAGATGTAAGTGTGGCACTAGATACAAGTGTGGCCCCTTTACAAGCTGAGAGAAACTGAGCACCCTTGTCTCTGATTAATTTGAAAGAAATTGAGAGAATCACAATGAAAGATGCCTGAAGAGATCATCTGGTTCACTATTCCATCCTAGGGCCAATGATTATTGGCAATATTCTTGTTTTGTCTTCTTCTAAAGACCTCCAGAGATGGAACTCACAGCTTCTCCATCTACTTCTTACCTGCCCATCATTAGAGCATTTCTCTTAATGCCTGATCTGAATCATCCCTTCACCCTCATAGTTATCATACCACCATAAATTAAAAAATAGGTCCTTCAGTTCACTTCAGAGATTTTTTATATATTTGAAGATTATCTCTACATCTCTAGTTAGCAGGTCCCTATCCATGCTATGAAAGAAAATATGAGTTTTTCTGTCTTTTTCTCATAGGTTAATTTTTCAAGATTTGTTTTGTTGCTTTCTTTTGGTTCCTCTTCACCAGCTATTTCCCAACTTTAGAAATCAAGTGCCTAAGAGGAGACACAGGACTCCACTTGGAATTGATTTGAGTGGTAAAACCTTTCCTCATACTCTCGGGCTATATTTCTATCCATATTAAACATAAAGTAAAATTAATATATTTTCAGCCTAGGACCCATAACTTCCAGACCCCTTTAAAATGCTTTTATTCAGCTGCCAGCCCATCCTTCATTCTGCTTTTACTCTTTGTTTCTGCTCAAATGTATAACTTGGAGCAGGTCTGCACTGACTTGCATTCTGTCATTTATACTCTTCAATACATCTGTCTCTTATGCTTTAATCATGTCCTTTAGCATAGATGCAAGGCCTGTAACTGGAATCACCTCTAAATCCAATAACTTGTTTTGTGCCTGTTTAAGGGGTCAACAGGAACACTGAAAACAGAATGTGCAGGTGCTCAATCCTCACCTCACCTCACTTATTCATCATCAAAGGAAGAGCGTGTTAACTCTACTCAAAATATACTCTTGTCACAAATCTTTGTCCACATAATAAGCACAACTAAGGTTCAAGACCTCACAGAAATGGCTCTAAATATGCAGGTGTGAGGTCAGCCAGAAAGGCCTCAGATAAGCACAGGAAGGTACAGCAGACAGAAAACTGACCTGCTAAATAAAAGTGTCTGATTGACGTAGAGCAGTTGTTTGAGACTCATTAATTCTTTGTGACGTGTATAAAGACAAGATAAAACAGTGTAACATGAGCCAAGGCCATCTGTGGATGGCTGGAGTGCATTCTGCAGTTGTGAGAGTCAGGACTGAGAAGAAACTGGGCAAGATGTCCCATGTGCCAGCAGCAACTGGATACAGGACCTATAGCACCAAGCACATCAGACCACAGCTGCTCTAATAAATAAACACTGGTCATGTGGCTACACAGGTCTAAAAGCCTGAATCTGCAGGATTTCCTTTAGAGCTGTTATTTCAGAAGATCCAGCATTAAAGACCAAAAATTGTTACCTGGGCTCGACAAACTGTAAGCCAAATATGTTAGCTACGCCTCTTACAGTGAAAGAATGAGAGAGATTGCACAAAATATGTAAAAAGGTTTATGATAACACATGATAACAAAGCAGAAGGAAAGATATGCTAAGGCAAGGTAGTTAAAAATATGCTGATGGCAGCACCACTGCAGATAAAAAATCAACTGCATGCCATAACTACTTTGCCTACAGGAATCACAGAATTCTTATGTCTGGAAAAGAGATTGAGTCCAACCAGCACCACCACCACCATTTTCCCCATTAAACCATGTCCTCAAGAACCACATCTACACATTTTTTGAACTCTTCCAGGGATGGTGTCTCCACCATTTCCCTGGGCAGCCCCTTCCAGTGCTGAACAATCCTTTCAGTGAGGAAATTCCTCCTGGTGTCCAACCTGAGCCTCCCCTGGCACAGCTGGAGGCCGTGTCCTCTCACCCTGTCACTGTTTCCTATGAGAAGAGGCCGATCCCCCCTGGCTCCCCCCTCCTGTCAGGCAGTTCTGGACAGTGATGAGGTGTCCCCTGAGCCTCCTTTGGTCCAGGCTCTCCTTAGTGAAGAGTATCCCAAATTTCCTGGCTCCCCACTCCTGTCAGGCAGTTCTGGAGAGTCATGAGGTGTCCCCTGAGCCTCCTTTTCTCCAGGATAAACAACCCTAGCTCCCTCAGCTGCTCCTCCAGACCCTCTATAAGTTTTATTGCCCTTCTCTGGGCTGGCTCCAGCCCCTCCATGTCCTCCCTGAGCTGAGGGGCCCAGAACTGGACACAGCACTCGAGGTGTGTCCCCAGCAGTGCCCAGCACAGGGGACAGTCCCTGCCCTGCTCCTGCTGGCCACACCATGGCTGATACAGGCCAGGGGTCACTGCCCACCTGGGCACAGCTGGCTCATGCTCAGCAGCTCTTGTCCAGCACCCCCAGGTCCTTTTCCCTGGCCACTGTGCAGCCATTCTGTCCCCAGCCTGTAGCAAAGGATGGGGTTGTTGTGACCCAAGGACAGGATCCAGAACTTGGCTTTGTTAAACCTCACACTCTTGGCCTCAGCCCATCCCTCCAGCCTGTGCACATCCCTCTGCAGAGCCTCCCTCCCTCCAGCAGATCAACACTCCCACCCAGCTCGGTGTTATCTTTGCTCTTGCTGTGTGTGCACTTGGTCCCCTCATCCAGACCATCAATAAAAACCCCAAACAGGATTGGGTCCAGAAGATCAATACAGACCCCAAACAGGATTGGGTCCAGATCATCAATACAGACCCCAGACAGGATTGGGTCCCACACTCATCCCTGGAACACCACTGGGGATCATCCCCAGCTGGAAGTGGCACCATCCACCGTGTCAGGACACCCAGCCAGGTTTTATCCACTTTTCAGAGTGCACATATCCAGCCCAGGGGAAGTCAGGAGCTGCAAAACAATTTCTTGGAGCACCTGTATTACAGTCTCCTTAGTGATTTTGGATAGAGTTTACTGCCCAGCAGACAGCAAAAGATATTAACATAAAAAGTTTCCTGGAATAATTCCAAATCAGCTGTTACTCCCAGTTCTAGAGAAAGAAAAAAAGAAACCTTTCCATTTTTTTTTGCTCAAAAAGCATTCCATCACCTGCTTTAGCGTCTTCATTTTTATTTTCCAAATCTCTCTTTGGAATATGCTCACTGATTTAATATGAACATAATATTGGAAAGCTGCTGGAAAGTTCCAAGTGTCTTAAGAATCACTTGCATGATCCAGTCATTACCGAGTCCTCTTCCAAGAAAAGGGCTTAAATTTTCCTTATGTGACACACACACAAAAAATCAGCCATTGGAGAACAATTCAATAGCTTTGATTTAAAATGAGGATTATCAGCAAAAGTATCAAAGTAAATGTTGCTCAGTTGAAGTGTGCCTTTTCAGCACCAAGAATCTCCAACCCAGCTAATTTTAATCCTAACCCCACCAACTTCTGAACTTGGCCAGCAAGCTGTGACTCAGAAATTTGTCACAAACCCCATGGATCTCACCCTGAGCTGTGCAGCAAGGAGGAGCTGGGAAAAGAAACCTGGCAGTCGGTTAATGTGGTGATTTGTGAGCTTTTTCAACAAGTCACCCTCCTCTGTGAGGAGACAGATCATGTCACAACCCTGCTCTCCTCCTCAGCCACAGCAACCACCTCCAGCTCCACTGATAATTGAATTGGATGCCTGTGGCAACCACAATACTTGTATTAATGGGCAAGATTAGGGACATGATGGATGTATTGCCTTTTGCTGCAGTTTAGAAGCTGAAAACGAGGAGTTTGGCCAGCAGAGTCCAGCCAGTCAGCTTTACCACAAACTAGCAAACCTCAGTACTGCAGTCCAACACCAGAAAATGCACACTGCAGACTCTCCCCAGCCTGAGCTGACAATATTTAGAAGTGGTCTTTGCACCTCTGCAGTACTCTTGTTGGTCACTGGAATTATGTTCTGAGTCACAAGGAGTTGTATTATAATGAGTGATGAGTGAGCAGCCTACACTGTAAATATTTTTATTTGCATCTGACTATGGATACAATACAAATTGAATATCTCAGTAAATGTGCATTCCCTCAGATGCCCGAGAGGAGGAGGAGGCTGGAACACAATTTCTGGATTTGTAATTCTTGCATCTTTCATCTGAAGGCAATTAGTAAATCAACAGGAGGATTTTTTATTTGCCATTGTTACTGGTTGGTTAAATGAAAGTAGCAGTCACTTGAAAAAAGCTGACAGTGCATAGTCTGAAATTAAGAGCTAGGCAAATTTTGGTAGCCCTTAAAACAAATGAATTTTAAACAACTATTTTTATTTCATCTGGATATTTTTTCTGAAAACTAGCACTTATTTTTTTCCTCCAGACAGTTACATGTCTTAAAAAAAACTATCCTTACAGAAGCCATAAGATTCATCTTCAATATCTTGAATTTAATGGTTACATCATGGGTTTGATCACTCCACCTCTTACTGGTACAGGTTAAGGATCTCCTCCAGAAAAAAAGGTAGGCATAAAACCAATGCACACCAATTTCAGGCCAGCCACCAGCTCTGTGCTGCACTGTTTGCAGTGAATATTAGCATTTATACTAATCATTTTGGGCTATAAGTACATGTCTACGTACCAAAATGTGGGTAGTACTGTTTTTATTTGGAATGGTACCTTCCAATTAAGAGTGAGTGGAAAGATAAGAATAAAGCAGCAGGATGACACAAAATTGTATGTGAACCCTCTCCTAAATCCCTTGGGAGAATAAAAGCACATTTGTTAAAAATGAGACACTTTCAGGTGGTGGGGGTATCTCAGGTCCCTTAGTTTGCAGCAGAAACCTTTAACAAATCCACACTCGGGCCCTGTGAAAGAACCCAGAATTAATTATCTGCAAAAACGCTTCCCCCAAACTGCCCACCACTGCTTCAGGACTGTGTTGCTGCCTGAGGTGTGAATTTAAAAGCACAATATTTATACACAAGGAATTCTCCCTGTCCTCCCTCCTTGGCTCTGTCCATCCCTCTGGCCATTCTTGGCCCAGCATTTCCACAGGTCATGCTGACACCAGTAAAGTCCAATGCAAAAAGAGCTGAAGTGTGGTGACAGATTATTTCAGTTTGATCTAAATAGTGCTTTTCTGGTGCCTTTTTTTTTTAATAGTGCTTTTTTTCCCCCTGCTGCTGTTGCAAGATGCCACTGTACACATTTATGTTACAAGACTTCTGCTTAAATCAGACCCCTCATTCTAAGCATCTGAAAATAGCAGTAGTTTCTGTTGTTTTGCCTGCCTGGATCTCGTGATTTTTGGTTTTGTTTGCTGCCCTAACCCAGTCCAAGCCACAGATACCAAACAAATCCAGCCCAGCCAACCCCTGCAACATCCAAACCCATCTGGGTCTCTGAAGTGCTTTCTGCTAATGATGAAATTGGAGCCAGCTCTGGCATACTTCAGCAAGGCTTTATGGAAGTCTGTTCAGTTATTCTCTGCTAAAATGCCATGTGTTACTCTGAAAGCAACTCGTGATTTTATTATCAGCCAAGGAGCAGCAGTTTGTGATTGCAGGAACTGAAATCTTTATGTGCTGTAACAGTCAGTGCCAGATGTGAGTCACTGGGAGAATTGATCAAGCAACTTAGATTGTTTCAACTTTTTTGGTTTCTAAATCACTTGTCAAAGGAATTTGGGAGCAGACTGCTGAAGTTCTCCTGGGAACAATGCAAGATCACTTTCAATGCGAGACCCCTTCCCCCACGTGTGCTCACCCCTCTAAAGAGCTCAAGGAAAAGCAGCAGTACTGACATTTTCATTTATGTACCTGACACAAAGGGAATTACATGCAACTGCAGCAGGAGCATTATTAATTCCTGCAAAATCTCGTGCTGCATTTGAACACCGTGTCCTTTCTGAACACAGTCCACGAGCTGATGGCAGCAAACCTTATTAACCTTTTTGTTAGCAAGCCTGACTTTACAAAAATGAAACTTCTGGAAGCAGGAGTGGCAGACATGCCGTATCCATAACCTCATTTAAATAGCAAATTAATATGTGAGCTGATGATGTACTATTTTAAAGAGGTAATTAGCTCTCACTGCACAGAGCACAGGTTAAACTAATAGTATAATGTTACCAGCAGCTACTTCCTGTTGCCTCTTCACTATCCACTCACTTCCCATTTAATCCCCTCCACACACACACACTCCAGAAATGTGAAAGTTTCCAGAGTCTGATGCAAATATCTGGTAAATTAACTTCAGGATTCTCAAGCTCTTATTAAAGACTGACACACCACTAATATTTTACACTTATTCAAGAAAGTACCCGAAATAAATGTTCCTAATTGCATTTCACTTTAGAATTGACAGATCTTTTATGTTTACACAGCTAGTAAAACCCAAGAAAGCATTTGCATATGTATTCATGTGTGTATACATATAGACAGGCAAGAATTTGCAGGAAAAGCACACACAAGCTAAAAGAGATTTTAAAAGAATAAGGAGAGAATGTGCTTCTTTTGTAACACAACTAAATCCATATTCTAATTTAAAAAACAGCGATCTATTCCGATGGATCTAGTCACGTCCCATTCATGGATTTTTCTAACACTGAAAAATAAATACTGAGAACATAAAATCTAAAAGCTGACAGAAACAAAGCGATTTTTTCAAGATCATGAGAGAACTGCACAAACTTTTTTTTTTTTTTTTTTTAAAAGGAAGGCATAAACAATCTCATGCAGTTAATCTATGTCTGGGCAGCTAATCAACAAAACTAACAAAATGAACAGCCAGCCCTGCCTTTTAAAAAAACCCCATCTTTTTAGCAGAGTAACAGGCACAGAAGAAAACCAGCACCATTTTTACCCGAGACAAAGGCATCCCGAAAGGTCTCATGCAGTTACCCCGATGAAGAATCACTTAAGGGAAGAGCTGGTGCAGGAAAGTTTTCCCTTTGGAGCACAGCATGGCAAACAGGAGCCTCTCCTTGCCTTTGCTATACTTTACCATGCAGGATTTGTTGTGTTGCACTGCGAGCCCCGGGAGGCACAAGCACTTGCCAGAATCTATTGCCATTTGCTCAAAGTTTGATCCTAGAGGTTCATTTTTAAAGACAAAGACAGCTGATTTTCTCCCCCCCCCTCCCTAAGCCTCCTCCTCCTCCACCAAGGCACGTCTTTAATTCACTTCTCATGAAGGAACTCACACCATTTCAAGTCTGAGGCACTGGATGAGGCACTTTCCTTTTGCAAAACAGAGAATTCTCACTGAGATTTTGCTAAATGTGCATTTAGAAAGAGAAAAGAAAGCCCAGCAGATCACTCACCCTCTTTAGCCACGTGAAGTGCTTGTAAATATCAATCTCACCATCCATGCTTCGGGCCCATCTCAGCAGTCACATTCCCAGGGTTAAAAGAAACTTTTGGAAGCAAAGGCTCTGCTTTGTTCTACAGGATGTAGTTGTGATTTCTTCCCCTTTCAACCCTCAACTTCTGAAATCTTCAATGCCTGGTCATATTTTAAGTTGAATCCTCTGCCCCTGTGCCACAGTCTTATCCCAAAGGCTTCTCACAGATGTGTATATAACAGGCAACTGTATAAACTTCAGGCTCCCCCCCAAACATCTGGCTTTTTTAAACAGCAGATCGGCTAGCAGCAAGAACAATGCAACCCTAAAAACATTAAAAAGATAACTTGCTGAATGATCTTTAAAAAAGGATCTTTCAAGAACAGCATAAATCTGCAGGAACTGTTCCCCTTTAATGCTGAATAACAAGCTAAAAATTATTAAGCTGTCACTGAGAAACTATTCTCAAGTAATGCTTTCTCTGGCTTTCTGTTTCAAGAGTGGCTGGAACTCATTACCAAAGACCCCCTATTTCCTGTCTCTGTTCTACTCCCTGTTTATTGTAACACTACTCAGCCTTCTCAATTTATTTCAGGCTCAGACTAAACCTAAATATAAGCTCTGCTCTTTGAATTACTTGCCTGTCCTCTCAAAAGACATTATAAAAGGGGAGGAATTCAAGGACGATCCTGTGAATAAGATAATGATCCCATAAACACTGCTGTTGCCAAAGAGGCGATTTTCCAGCCCAGCAGAAGATGATGATACCATTCCAAGATGTTTTTCTGCTCCTGCTGAAGCTGAAATCTCACAGCATAGCAACTTTTCAAACTTGCAACACCGAGATAAACGTGCGTGCAACGCAACGCTCTGGCAAGAAGGGAATTTAAAGTGTTGCCTGCTATCGTGGTGTCCTCTAGTGCCTCCACACAGCACTTATCCATAACTTCTAACTTTTCCCAATAAGCTCCAGCTTCCAGTGCTGTTTTTCCCCCTAGTTCAAAGTGGCTTTGGCCTTAAACCAGGCAGCTGATGGTGACACACAGCAGGACAGCTGCTTGGGCAATGCCTCTCCAGACCCAAAGGCAGCTGCCCCCACGGAATCTTTGTGACCATCCCAGAACATTTGCTTATCTCCTCACTGCCTTCAGGTCCTCCCTGGGCTTAGGGAGCAGGAAAGCAGCAGATAGGAAGAGCCAGTGTCCAAGCTGCCCGTGGTATTAACGTTATACACAAAGGACTCAAAGTCTGCAGCTGTGTAAAGCCTTTCCTACAGGGACCTGCCCACATTCCAGAGGGGGAAGTCACAGATACGTGACAAAATTTCTTCAAGGGGATCTGGGTTTTTAATATTTTAACCATTCTTGGTCCCTTTGACCTGATGGAGCTCTTCTGAGAACCTCCCACAACACAAAGTAAGAGGGAAGGATATAAACATAGACTTTCAGTTCCCTTCATATATTTATTATGCTTAAAGTCACATGACAAGAAAAACATGACAACTTTTAGCAAGTCAGTGCTACAAGTCTTTTAAAGGTACTGGGATACCTAAAATCACCAGTAAATGTGAGGAGAAAAGAACTGTCCATTTCCAAAAGCAATTCTACAAGTCAGATCTCACTTGGGTTGCCCTGAGCATAGAATATAGATATTTTATGCTGTCTAAAAGTGGATAAGAGCAGTTATTTCTCGAATAGCTCATACTATCTGGAAAAAATCTTAATACACCATCAAGAGTGCATTAAAAAAGCCACAACTTAATAGATTACATTTCCCTGTGCATGACAGTCTCCATCAGGGCTGACAAGCTGGAGACTGAATGGGGGCTGTCTTGACATTAGACATGAATGCCCAACAGTACAAGGCACTTTTTTCCTCAAAAAAACTTGTTATCTAATTGTGGAGGCTAGAAAATTCATCAAACTTTATCTCACAGCATTGCAGATCCCACAGTACCACCACTATGGTGCCTTAGGTTCCACATTTCATCCATTTCAAAACACTGGCTCTGAGATTCCCATCTCAGTCTTATTCAGGGAAGAAGGAAATACAAATACCTCTCTCAAAACACTCCACCAGACTTTTATCAGCTAATAATTGTGCTTTTAATTTTAAAAACGACAGGAAAACTGTGTTTCTAAACTTCCTAGTGCCCCAGTGTAGCATCAGCATTTAGGATAGTATCCATTTCTCCTTTTAGAAGTATTAAAAATGACAACGTACCTTACTTCTGCCTTGTCACTCGTGCTGGATTTCACGAAAAGGTGTCTTGATTTCTGTTAGTCATTCTTCCTGATTAAGAGGTGATTGTCTGAATTCTCTGCATCTTATCAGCCAGAATGTTGACAGCATACATTCCAGACAGTCACATGCTCACAGGGAGCCTGTCACCTGCACACTGAACTTTACATCCTGCTTGAGCTTTGGCCTGAACCTTTCAGGAACCAGCTGAATGCAAACCAGTGGCTCCAGATTGGCTTAGAATGCTTTCCCATTTCACTGGGAAAACAGGGAAGCTTCTCTGGGCAATGTGAAAATAAGGAAAATACGCTGCAATCTCAGGATTGCTTCATCAGGTCACCACTGTACGTTTTTCTTGTTTTCAGGGACTCCATGGCTGTGTGTAGCTCTTCACTGAGCACCAGTTTCTGGGTCAGTGGAGAACTAAAAAACAAAGAAGCAAAAGCTTCTTTGCCCCAAAAAGAAAAAGAACCCCACTTCCACTGCAGAACCACCACCCTTAAGTGTTACCCCAGACAGAGACTGAGCCAGATTTTGCTCTCTTGCCCCCACACTGCTTTCTCCAGTGCTGTCCCCAAAAATAAAAGAACACACACATTATGACAGCACAAATACAGTGAAGGGCAGTGAAATATTTCAGGTTAGCAAAGTTTATATGCTCCCTAACATCCATTAGGGTTTATTTGCCAGTTCCATACAGAAAACTGCTGACTACTGCCAGGCTTGATTGGGCTGAAAACTCCATTTGCAGAACACCAGAGGTGCCAGCCCAAAAACTTCTGTGCTGATACACAACCAACAAAACCCACTCGGCCAAGTGAGCCACTACTTTCAGTCAGCATGTCAAACACTTCAAACAAGGCTTGAAGTCTCTTTTAAGTGGTAAACAAACATTCTGCAAGAGCTTTGAAACTGAAAGCAACAATGCTTTAAATGATCAGCTGCACTTCTCTTGTCCCTCCATTCCAGACTTTTAAGAGGCAAGAAAACATCCAGAAATCCTCTTAGAACAGTGGAGGGAAAGGAACTGTCTCGTGTTTTCCCTCTTCTACCAACACTGAGCTGTTTGCTTTTCCTCCTCTTTCTCTCACCCAGCTAGGGCCCTATGGACATGAAAAAATTATATTTATTAGCACGGTTTTCTCAATGTTACTCATTTGTAATAAAACACAGGTTTTGGTGCAGCACAACTGCAAATAGTTAATCTTGTTCTTTCTTGCCTCTGAAGTTCCTGGGAAATTAAAGGGCAAAGGAATAGGAGGAATCAGAGCTGTCCTCCAGGTCTTCCTTTTCATCAATATTCTTGTTTCAAATCCCATCAGCCCCTGAAAACACTAAAAGACCTCACACTTGCTCTCTTAGGCCAAGAAATGAAATGTCCAGGTTTGCATTCTCCCAGCCTCATCAGGGGAGCACAGTGAGGATGGACATGCTACAAAAATTTACTCATTCCCAAGAACTATTATCAACAGTTCCTATATCTCTTCCTCTGTGGTTTTTGTTTTTATATTTTTTTTTTCTTTTTTTCCCAATCCTAGTGTCTGAGCTGCTTTGTAAACAAAGGGATTATGACCTGATATTAAAAGGGAAAATATTTTCAGCATGCCAACTCACACGTGTCATTGTCACAGTGCAGAAAAATGTGAGAGCTTCAGAGTGAAAAAAGAGAAAGAAAATATGGGAATATTGTGTATAAAGAAACTCAGGCCATTTGTGTAGAAGACAATGGAGGAAGAAATCCCTTTTTCATGGCAAAAATGGCTTCAGGAATCTAGATGAAGTTATTTCCAGCAAGAAAATCTGTCTTAGAATCTTAATTGTGACTGACTGAGAATGCCTACGTGACAGAGAAAAAAGAAATTCTTGGAACAAAATTCAAAAAATGCACTGCATTCTGTAGATGAGCACATTTGCTTTGTTTGTGATAATTAAAAAAAAAAAAAATAAACAATATCCTGGGAAACAGACAAGAAATAACATTTTGCAGATGCACAAACAAACAATCCTTTCCCAGCATAAGACACACTCAGCCCCAATGCCTTAAAAAATTCGTTGATTAAAATCAAGAATCAGACTTGGAATTAAACAGACTTGGATGGCCATTGGTGTTGGAACCCAAAAACCTGGGAATTTTGAACTTTCTGGGCTTTCTAACACAACCCCCAAGGAAACTCTACTTTTGACTTAAGGCCTGGGAAAAAGCTTCCAAATTTAAGTAAGAGTTAAAATCACTGGTGTGCAGTTAGAATAGAAGTGTGTAATTTCACATGGTGAAAGGTTTTGAATTTAGAGTTCTGGAATACAGTAAGAAATATAGAACAAAATAGAAATTCATAAGCATTGCCTCTTTCTTCCTTCTTGTTCCTTCTTCATTCTTTCAAGTAGTGTTTTTTGGCTAAATAATTAGTACTACAGTGTGAATCACAAGTGTTTAGTTATTGAGGCAAAAGTATAAATAAGTGTTAACTTTTAATTAGACTATTTAACTTGAAAAAACCTTGTAACTAGCTAAATTCATCTCCATTTTACTTGCTTTTAACTAGTGACTAGAAGTGTTACAAAACTCTCTGTACTGTAAATAAAATTTAATAAACAACTAACCCAAAACACAAAAAAATACTTTGTCCAGCCCAAGTTCTACAAGAACTGTGCCTTTTTTCATGAAACTTATCTAGAAGAGAATAAAAGAAACCTGAGTTCTGTTTTCACATAAAATTCTAAAAAATATTTTCTACTTAACAGACCATCAACATCACTGTGAAGACTTCCCTGTTATATGCAGAGTACACCAATACATAAATAAAATAATTAAAGATACTTATTGTCATCCCACCACACAACACATTACAATTAATCAGGTTTAGTTTCCTGTCTCAAATGCTTCAAAGCACTGCTGAAACTACTAAACCTGCAATAAATCAGTATGAGAGACATTTCAAACAGGACATTTAGCAAATATTTGCTTACACACCAATAACATTACCAGGTAGCAGTTTGCCTCTCCTCGCTATGATGAATGTCAGATTATTCTCTTCTAAATTTCAGAATGGAAAAAACAGTAAAAAAACAAACCCAAATAGAATAAGCTGCAGATACACCTTTACAAGTTCTTATTTCTGATAAGGAATGCACAAATATTCCTTTCATTTTTTTTTCTTAAGTATCTCATTACTGAGGAAAATTAAGGCCATTGTTTCCACCTTTTGGAAAGGAATAGGATGCCAACATGTTAAGACAATATGTCCAAAATAAGTGTTTTTTTCCCCATTTTTGGATGGTCAGAAAAGCTTAAAAAATATTTAGTTTCGTGTTATTGGCATGCTAATCCAAAAGAGAATGAAATTACTTTGTTTTGTCAAAACTTATAAGATTTAGCAAATTTCAATAGGCCAACCTATCCATCCAAATTCTGTGAAATGTGAATAGGGGTTATATAGAGAAATACTTCAACGTTATGCCCTTCTTCCATTATTTAAATAATGCCTCCAAATCAATACAGGAACCTTTTAAAACTAAATTTTGTCTCCAATTTCTCTATGTGACCTCTACACCTTTTCTGTCAGCACCACTGTTTAAGGAAACATTTATCTCTTACCAATCTCTCTTTTAATTACTTTATGGAAAACATTTCCCAATGTTTCCTGTGGCTCCACTTGAAAAATGCATTTATGCACTAATGTTTGCTAAATGAATACAGTGTATAACATTTAAATCAGTGGAAAATAATGCAGCTGGAGATCCTAGTGAGAGGTCAGAAGGTGAGATGGAAAAGGGACTCCAGGCACAGCATCAGACACAAAAGGAAAGATGAACTAATGGGATATTCAGCCACTTAGGGCAAAGGGAGGCACTGAAGCCGAGAGCTGAAGGAGACTTGTACAGGTGGAATTGAATAAATCTTTTGGAAGGGAATTTCTGTTC